TTTAAAAAAAGCTTTATTATGATGGAATAAATAAAATAGTAATGGATTGATATAAACATTAAAAAGTTTGTCAGAATTTCGAGCTAATTGATGTCTACAAAGCATTGGGACGTCAAACTGCTCACAGCGTCGTGATCATGAACCTGAAGAGTTCGGAAATCAAAAACTGAAACTGAAATTAAATTCGAATAGCACAATAAAATAAGCTTTTTCTATTTATCATCCGTCGTATTTTCAATAGTGCAAGAAATAGATCCCGATGAAAAAAAAGGTCGAATGTCGTAATGGAAGCAAGAAACACGATTGCATTCAGTTTCAGAGATTCCTCTGCTGACATAGACTGATGAGACAGTTACCGCTCATGCATATTAAGAAGCTGTACAAAGCTTTACATTTCCATACACTAAAGTTTCACACATCAAGACTGTTTTCATTTATAATTCTTTCATGTTGAATGCATCTGCATTTAATATTAGGTTAAGTTTATATAATTTTCATATCAGTAGCGGAATACTCGCACATAAATTTTACATAAATGCACTTTATTAAATTAACAGTCTTTACGCACGAGATGGAATTTTTTTTTAATGAAAGTTTTGTACTTAATTGAAAACAATTTTTAACTTCAAATAAAGCATTTGTTTTTAAAGCATTTTAAGCTTTCGCTTGTAAGATATTAATTTTCATGTAAGTGACGTGAAGTGATTCACATAGATAAAGTCGCGGATATGATTTATGCACGTTTAAATGAAAAATTTTGATAATAATCTAGCGTGTTACTGATACTGACAGATTATTACATTTATAATGGACGCAAACAAAAGCTTCCGTCAAAAATTGTATATTATACAGCGTGTCGTTACCATCGCGACAATAAATTAACACCCGTCTAACGCTACTTGCCAATAATCATAAAAAAATATTATCGTTAAAGAAAATCCATAATTAAAAAAAAAAATATTTTTCAAACAAACTAATTAAGACAAAATTTGTAACATCCTATACAACTCGCGCCACAGCGTCGTATTACAAGCCTCTCCTTCTAACAGTATGTTTGTCTCTTTTAAATTCATTCAACCCATTCATATGCTTTGTGACCTTTACAAATGAACTTTACGTTATGCTTTTATAGGTAAGGGTGTTCTAAAATTCTTTGTTTTGGAAAATTTAATAACTCTGTAAATATTGATGTTTGAAGTATTTAAATGTTTAATACAACTTTAAAAAGTTATCCCCTATATGTGTTTTCATTTATTGTCGCGATGGTAACGACACGCTGTATACGTCTTTAGCGAGTAAGTCTTTACATAAATTTGTTTACAATTGGTACTGTTCTTTTTCGGCTCCAACGCCTTTTAGATTTCCATTCATTGAACTGCCAAATGACCAGATGCACAGAAAGATTTGATCCCTAAATATGTGACACCAAGAGATAGTGACTTATCCCCTTAACATTATTTAAAACCAAACCTTCGTTATTATTTATTATATTATTACACTTTTATGAGTGGATTAATATTCTTTTTCAAAACCATGGCAAGAAATACATTACAAAATTTCAAGTCAAATGTTTTATAGGGCTTCATATAATAGAGTAATATTTTCTTCTAGGAAACATATGAGATCAATTCCAGAAAACACAATATATCGTCATCATCATCATTATTTCAGACTATTTGAGTAACTCACAGATGCCACGAAGGAAGACATATAATACATAAAAGATTAATCGATAACTTGAAATTTCATTTATGATTTAATTTTGATTAAACCAATTATTAAATCATAACTACATACAACTACTAAAACAGACTGGGATTTACAAGGCCACACCATTATTTCCCAAACACATCAAATAGCAAATTCAAATTACTGTTTGAAATGATCTAGTTTCTATTACTATATACTAGCAACCCGCCCTGGCATCGCACTGGTGCAATGTATTATACATTTATAAATCTTCTCATTGAATGACTGTATCTAGTAAAAAAACCGCATCAAGATCCGTTTATTTATTTATTTACTGTATCGGAGACAAACAGGAACAAAAGACAAAATAAAAAATAAAAATGAACATACAGCATGCGGATATTTACAGCTGCTCCCTTAACTAATGTCTCACTGAGAACAAATTTGTTATTTATCGGTAGCACACTTACGGCAGAACTATTGCAATTACAAAGGACACAATAAAATTTAAACAATGCAAGAAAGAGAAAGAAGAAAGTACAATCATGCGTTATTGGGTTTTTTAAAGATAGTTGGGTAGTTTTAAAGATCTAAGGATACATTGGGACAGACAGACAGCGGGACGACTTTGTTTTATAATATGTAGTGATATCTAAGGATGAAAATCATGAAATTAGCAGCTTCAAGAGTTTTAATAGCTTGGAATTGGACGTTTCGTTACAAGCTAAAGTTGTTTTATTACCTCTCAATTTATTCCAAATTCAGATATTTCGTAAACACATGCGAGGATCAAAATAAGCTCTTAACGTGACATATTCCAAAATCATCTCATAAAACGAACTCAATTTAATTCAGAATGTGATTAAGGAAATGTGAAAGAAATTCGTTTTCATATACGAGAGCGCGAAGTTACATTGCTCTTTATCGCGTTTCTTGTTAAAAGATCCATCACACGCTCTAATCGTATTTTCTTAGTCAGTTTTTTAACAAAAAATGTTTTCATGTAAAATTAGTATTGCCGCTATAAGTGAAATATCACTATCTAGTTCTTCGTTAATATATAACAAAACGCACGTTATAAGAGTAAAAATGTTAAAACGTGAATTTAAAATCTAAACTAACCTAACAAATGTATGGTTTCACTCTGTTATCTCCAAATCTTCACTAGACATTAGATGTTTCAAACACCTTGTAGCATTCATAGTAACGTTCCTACAGTGTGATTTGATGCCAATATTGATTCAGAATCAGTTTGGAATTAAAAATATATCATTTTTGTCCAATCTACACGGCGGTAGTGTGCTACAATTTGTATTTAATTTTTTTTTAACAGAAACTCACAAAAGGTGGTAACACCCAACTCTCATGTCTGTTGAAACTTATATACCACAACTGAATTCTGACAAGTAATCGTAGAAGGCTTGCCAGAAGTTATTTGAAGTTCCTCACGTCTTGATAATTTCAAATATTTAAGCAGTCTAAAAAGTTAAAAAGAGGTCTGTAACAGAATTGTCGCTCTATCTAGCCTCTAAGATAAGCGGTTTTATTATTTGTGTTAACGATGATTGGTCTGGTTAGTGAATGATCATTACTTTACTAACTTAATCTTAACAACGAAATTACTGTTTTATCTTGTGTTGTAAGGACGTTTTACAAGCATAAATTTCATGCGGACGAACACCAAGATGCGAAACTACTATTTGTGGGTCACAAAAATAGTTATGCCATGTGGGGATCGAACCCACGACTCCCGGCGCCGAAGCCAATACCTTGGTGACTGCACCACGGAGTCATCAATCAATTTAAAAAATAATTCTTCCCTTACTTGCCGGTGTTTCCCGTATAATTGATTTTCTTTTCCCACTTTTATAGTTATATTAAAATATTTAATAAGAAAATATAGTGTAAATAGTACTACGTTATATAAATTTTTGAAAAGAAATGTTTTTGGACTATACCTTAAGCGACTATACCCTAAGGTTAGCATCCTAGCACCGTAAACAAATGATACTGTAAGGGTAATTTCGCCGTCTCGTGTAAGTTCATTAAAATTTTGTTAAATGTACTAACAGATTTTTATCTTTAGACTGAAGATATTTTAGAATTCGATATTTTTTTTAGATCCGCCGTTATTATATGCACTAGATCCACCAAATTTGTTAAAGACGTTTGTTTTTTAAATGAATTGCTGTAAAATTTAATTTTACGAAGTGAAGAGGTCAATTAATTACAAAAGAAAAGTTAAAAACTGCCAAAATTTTGATTGTGTACATGGAACAACAATTTGCCAAAAGTGTTTTATGCTACCGGTTTGAAAGAATGCTTCCATACGCGATGACTCAAAGCAGTGTCATTTTATTTTGACCTTTTTATCATTTAAATGAAATTTTTCGTCAATGTTTTTTTTAAAACTTGTGTTCTTATTTTGGGGAACTGTTACTGATGGTGGATTATGAAGACGTTGGCAAAATATTCCTTGGAAGCTTGTCATAAAAAACATGGCTTTTTAATAACATATAGAATTAACGAAAAAATTTAAATGTATAATTTGTAAAATTGAGTTTTAACATTTAGACATTATTAATGCTCAACGTGGGAACATAATAAAACACATTTTCTTAAAATTCACATAAAATGAACTAACAACAAAAAAAAATATGGGAACATAACGATTTATAATCCCATAAAGATCAATTATTCTAAAATTTAAGATATATATATTTTCATTTACAGCCATATATTTTTATCATTATGTTATATCGTTGTTATTTCTTACTGCCGACTACGTAATGGTCGACGGAAGATTTGCCAAATGATTATAGATATTACAAAAAACAAGCAACAAATGAAATGCGAATCTAATCCAAATACAGTCCACCAATGAGTTTAAGATATTAAACTATTATTGGAAACTTAGAAACAAGACGAAAGGTGGTTGTGCCAAGTATTATCAATTATTGGTCCAAGGGATAAAACTGCCTTATGTTGATAGAGTTGAAGGGGTCCGCTAAGGCAAGCTAAGGGAAACCCACACAAAATTCGATCTTAGTAAAGAGCTCAGAGGATTAGCAAGCTGAAGTGGCGATGGGCCGGCCATATAGCTCGTAGAACCGATAACCGTTGGGGAAGAAAGGTTCTCGAGTGGCAGCCTCGTACTGGCCATCGCAGTGTGGGACGACCCCCCACTAGATGGAGTGACGACCTGTGCAAATGTGCGGGAAGTCGATGGATGCAGGTGGCTCAGGATCGTACTTCGTGGCAGTCTATGGGGGAGGCCTATGTTCAGCAGTGCAGGACTCAAACAGGCTGAAATGATGAAAGAGCGGGTTAAAATTGCAGAGGGCAAGTCTAATACAGTGGTAATTCTACTCTCTCTGTTTTCTGAAGAAGAGGACTGGGTAAAAACGCTGATTTGGCGTATGAGGTTGGGCACATTATCCTGTGTCACTCAGCAAGGTCACGTTGTTGATGCATCAGAGGAAGACAGGGGTGTGTTGGTCAAACGAGCCATGTGTGAGGAAGAAAATAGCTCTTTTCACCTGAATTGCTTGCTTCGGCGGCCGGCAATGGAGGGGTCGCGGATTTATGTTTCTATGGCTCTACTAATATTCGCCGAAGAAAAGTCATAAGGTTTTGTCAGTGGACGTCAGATAAAATCCATCCATAACCCAGCCAAATTCGGTATGCACGGGGGTACTTTGTTGCATTTAATGTACTATGTCCATATCTGTAATTCTTTCATGTGAACTACTAGTTCATAACTTTTCAAGACCAGATTCAAACTGCAGGCCTTATTCATAAAACCGACTATGACAGAATAAATCTAAACTGTTTTAATTATTTCACCGCGACAGAAACGATTTGTAAACTATTTTACTCTTAACTATGGAAAAAATTAAATTGCTTTAGGGGCAAGATGTAATTAATGCACACAATATTACTTCTCATCTAAAGAATAATACCGAAAAAATATTACCGATTTGTAATTATTAATTATTGTGTCATCACAACATATTTTTTTCCGGAATAATACTAAAGCGTTTCAGTCAGTTTTGTTTATTAAAATTATATTCTTTTCCCTAGACAACCTTAGTTACGAGAACTAACAAATAAGACGAGATGGAATTTCCATTTTCAGATGAGTTCAAGTCTCCTGTGGCTTGCGGTTCCGATCTTAATTAAAATTCGACGTGATTATGTTAAAATATTTCAAAGATACACCAAAGATATTTGAGTTTCCCGTTCTAAAATCACTATTTCTCATTCATGATCGTAGTGAAGAGTCCCATCGCGGATCAAGTTAAGGATTAAGGTGATAAGGCATTACTGACTCAGAGTCAAAACGGAAGTCGCGAAAGTTTGTTATGTTTTAATTGAAATATGTGATGTAGTATCATAACTAAAACTAAAGCTGACGAAAGTTTCATAAAATCATTATATACAAGTGAAATTAAAATAGTGAAGTGACACTTTATTTTGATTATTCTCAGTTGTGGAAGAGCAGATTACAGATACAGGTCTGTACTGCTGCTACTTGCTGTTTATCAACAGGTACAATTATTTAAAAAAAACCGGCAAAGTGTGAGTCGGATTCGCGCACGAAGAGTTCCGTACAATTATCTATATAAACAGCAAAAAAAAATCATGCCTGGTGCTCCCATACGCTCCATACAGGCATGATTAGTTTTAGAACCAACAGGTTTAAGAAGTTAATAAAATGTTTTAAGGGTTATTTTCTAAACTTCAGTTACCTCTTAGCTAGCAATAAAATAATTTTTTAAGTCTTACTAATAAGCTAAATGCTAGCATTTAGCGGTCACAGAGCTTATTAGTAAAAGGAAACGTAAGATTACAAGAAAATTAGAGCAAGGAAACCGTGATCTCCTTCAGTGTCCGAAAATAACAAATAAAAATTTAATGGTAGTCCTGATTAAAGAATTCAAGATGAGACCATCGCTTTGGGAATACGGATATAATAAATGTAATGACGTACGTGCTCCTTAACCGAAGACAAGCCCTGAGTCATTTTTTGCAAAGAATGTATCAAACGTCACCATAATTTAACAGTTCCTTTATTTACATAGAGCTTAAATTAAATAATTATAAAATACTGCAAAACAATTTTATAACACGCAAGAAATGCACTCTAAAAAGTTATATAATTATTTAAAAAGTCTTAGAAAAGTAGAACACGTTTTATAGCCGTCTTAGTTGCACTCAAAAACGATAAAATAAAACGTCTAATACCTTAATGTCAACTTACCTCGTTACCTTCATGAATACGACAACAGCAAAGTAGATAAATGGCTTTTCGCAACTTCAATGATAAGTCTCATTATAAGGAAGAAGACTAGCATCAGATACACTATAACAAACTGTACAAATCTAATTAAAGCGAACCGCTAGTTTAAACAAAGATACGCCGCAGAAACTTCCTGAGCATTTCATTTTAAACGTACACTGAAATTAAATTTCGGATAGTAGATGCTCTTTGTTTGCATTTTTTTTTTGAAGTTTTCTTAATATAAATAAACTCCGTAACTCGTAAGCCGAAGTTGTACCGTACTTTTAAAAGGTTCGTCGTCCGTCGGCGATTGCGCGGCGAAGTGGGATCTGACGCCTCGGGCGGTGTTCGTAAGTGCGAAGGCGAATTGACACTGCTGTCCCGACACTCCTCGCTGCGTTTCGAGCTCCGAACGGACGGCGGTCCGCGCAAACGTCGAGCTGGCTGCGTGGCGTTACGGACTTTTCGAATGGCATGCGAAATAATCGAACAACTCTGATGTTGTACACAAAATACGAGGCAGATGTGTGACTAGCGCAACGAAACTTAGGCACACAAATTACGCCAATTGGTGCAATTAGATTGCAATTCCATAGACTGAATATCTCGTTCCGTGTACGTTCATACGTTTTATATAGTCTTTAACGTTCACTTACATCCTTACTAATATTATAAATGCGAAAGTTTGTATGGATGGATGTTTGTTACTCTTTGACGCAAAAACTACTGACTAGATTTTAATGAACCTTTACAATAAAATAGCTTATACATCAGAATAACACATAGGCTGTCATTTGTAAAGATATTGTGTGAATTCTCCAAAATATAGGTAATGATACGTGTCAACTAGTAGGAAAAAGTTCAGCCATCTGCGAGATATTCTGTTGTAAAATAAAAATCTCATTATTAATTCTTTATTTTCATTGGTTTTTAGTTTTTAAACTCCGCGCAGTATAGACATGCGTCATCTTTATAAAACATCATTGTCGAACACGCACTAAATGTCCATCAGTGAGGATGCAATCCAACGGAATTAAATTTGCACTGCGATGATTTGAGCGATGTCAATCGGTAAGCGTAATTCAAACGAATAGCCGTCAGTGAACTTTGATGATTTTGTGATACAGAGCTTTAAGATAATAATTTATTTCAGTTATTTCTACTGTTATTATTGAATCACTTGACCGTGTGTGTTTGAAATTATAATTATATAAAAAATTATTGCAGTTAAATTACTTTTTTAAAACAAATTTATTGCACACTCTATTTATTAAGCATTTCTATGATTATCACGTTATTTTAATCATGATGGTTTAAGTCGTACAAGTGATTTATAAAGTTGGAGATGTATACGTTGGATGTTCCACCTCTGAAAACGCCTCTCCGAAAGAGTTTTCTGTAGTGCGCATTTCTTACGTGTAATACTGTAGTGAATCCAAATACTAGGCGGAGAACTTGGTGGATACGGGACTGGTATGTTCGAAAAAATATTTCTAATATAAAGGATATTAATACAAAGGACCGTAACCCGTTAAAACTGAATTGTACCTGTGCGAGGATGTACATGGGACGGGTTCATCCTCGAGGAGGCGGGCGTTAATTGGAAGCGTTATACTGGGGTTTCGTCTGAGGAGCGAGGTAACCGGGGCGCACTTCTTAGTGGTCGACTATGCATTTGCAACACCACTGGTGTTGTAGCTGACATGGTCGACGGGAATCACTTAACACCTGCTCGCTTGACGCTTTCTAACACAAACAAAAAATCCTTTGGTCTCGGATATGTTAATTTTGGCTTTTAGGAGATCTTTACATGTTATTCAGCAGGCTTGAGATGGCAGAGCGCTGACGGCGCCGAGACTAAACCTCGTTTAAGATTGACTAAGCGTGAGGGATTTCTCAGGAGCCTACGTTCGGGCCGTCGCTCGGTTAGTATAATTACCGGATTGGGCGGCCGCCATGCTCTTAGGTCGCTTTGGCAGACGGTCAATGGAGTAACTAGTCGCAAGCGCTCCCGAGAAGGGATCTCGGCTTGGGCTGTTACTCAAGGAGAAGGCCGTATCTCGACTCTGGTACATCCCAATTTCTCGATCAGTAGCTACTGCAGGACTAGAAGCCTGTCTAAAGCTAACATTACAACCACAATGCCAAGCGGTTGTAATGTGTTCCTGGAAGAAGTAGTCGCGGAAGAAACTCCAGCAACGCTTCTATCATTAGTAGACGAAAACCTGTCAGATACGTGGCGTTGTCTAGTTTATGTATGCTCCACTCACCGGCGAGTCACAGTAATTAGAATCGTCAGCGGACTCAAAGTAACGGTGTGACGCCGACTTCAGGTATTGAGCAGTGGTGGGCAGCTCTTGATCTACGTGAACAATCGAATTTGAATCACCTGCAGTTAGCTACGGACTAGCGAATGTCATTATATTGTTTTGTCATACATATGCTATATTGTAATCTGATCTTTTGTTAAAAAAAAGAGCAACTGTTGAGTTTTTTGCTGGTCTATTCTCAACAGAAACTGCCTTCCGAACTGGTGGTAAGTTACTTACGAACTTTTAATTGTTTATGTATATTTCGGCGTTTCATAAGAACGGTCAAGCGTCTATTTGAATAATGATATTTTGAATTTGAATTATGGTAGACTTTTACTCTTACTCTTATATAGAGTCGCCTTGGTCCGAAGGGACATCTTGCTTGTTTGTGCAGTTGCTTTTTTTTTGGGCTGGTTGAGCCACTGTTGGTCTTAGGGGCCTTCACAGATCCGACGGGCTTGAGGTAGCCTGGCGCACGGGGCGCCTAGCCTGAACCTCGACGTATTATTATTACGATGTGCAGTTGCTCGTCTGCTGACCGTTTATGTAGGGGCGCACGATGGTGGGGGTATTTTGTTATGGGCTTCATGTCTTCATTGTTCATTGGTCCCAACGCTTCTGTTGAAAATTATCCTAATGACTCCATTGTTAATATTTTGGCTTCTGGGTCACTGCATGCTCTGGAATGCTTAATGATTGAATTAATAGCTTCTTGTCCATAGTGTCGCTATGTTAACTAATGGCCCTTTGTCGTCTGAAATAACATCTCTATTTATTTTTTTACGTTGTTATATTATGTTATATATTATAATTGTATGGCTTGACTATCATACCAACGTGGATAACATTAGCAAACGTTCCCTTCTAGTGTAAGCACCTATATTTATTTTGTATTTGTCGATTGAATTACTTTAACCTTGAGTGTCGCAACTAACAAACATATAGGTACTAAGAAATGCCCAATTGGAAATGTGTGCTTTTACGCGCACACAATTACTAATTACATAAAATGGCGTAATAATCCCTAGTAAAGCATTTACTTTCACATATCCATACTGAGGATTTAGATCGGGATACTAAAATGGAACTTGAAGTCTGTATGGGCAATCATAAACAGTAATGCTATGGCTTTAGTAAACATCCGGCATGCAACCGGCTTCCCTTTATAATAAATTTTGCTATGGGAATTTCTTATCAATTTACGTAATATAAAACTTTGTGTTTCCGGACACGTCGGTAGCAAACACGATGTGACTTGTTAACAGTACAGTTAGCGCAAAGAGATTCTCGTTCCGCAAAAGCCTAAACCTATTCACGGGATAACAAATTTCGTTCTCCACGTGATTAAGGAAAGCTGTTTACGCTGTTAATTCGAAGTGTTCAGATTCGAATGAGGGCAGTTAATTACACTTTGCTTTGAAACTTTGTTACTGTCACTATTGATAAACGTCCCATACTTATATATTTTTTAAATAGTCGTTATTATATATTATTTTTTTAAGTTGCAGTTTCATACTGGCCACATAATGTGCTTTAATAATAAGCATTTCAATTGAACTTATTGACTTTCAAGATATGACCACGTAAACGAAATTGTTTCAGATTTTATAATTCATTTATTTTATAATATCTGATTGAGCTTTTTTTTGAAATGGCCTCCCGAAGATGAATAATTCGAAGTTGTTATAATTAAAACCTTTAAAGCAACCTATCCAAGCATTTCCGATACTTTGGAAGGTCGCCTTAAAGGTTGATAACTGTTTCACTTATTAACACATGTCTGTTTAATTTTAATGTAATATTTTTTTTATGTGAAAAGTTGCCAAACGAGCAGACAGTTCACCTGATGGTGAGTGAATACCGCCGCCCATGGACATCTGCTACACCCGGGGGTTACAGATGCGTTGACAACCTTTTGAAAATTGGGCTCCGGCTACCTCACACACCAGACGAAACGCGATAGTATTTGTCATACTTTCGCTTTACGCTGGTCTTCTGTGAGGTCGTGGTACTTACCCGGACGGGCCTGCCCATTCGTGCAATAGCCGAGGCTGCTGCGTGGTCCTACCACCGAATTAATTATTTACCACCGAATTGAATTAATGTAATAATTGTAAGATAATAAAAATATTTTATTTCTGTTCCTTGATGTTCCGAGTTCAATGATAAATTTGAAAAGCCACTTACGCGGATAGGACAAAGCGCTATATATGCTTGGAGCAACAGGACTAAGCTGACCCATTACAAGCAAATATCTGTAATAATTTATCTCATTTCAATGTGTCTATTCAAGTAGGTACTTACTATTACTTAATACTCTAACGTAATACTCTAACGTAGAATGTCCGTGGCTATTGCCACATACACGTTTCGGACGGACATTCTTCGTTAGAGATCATATAATTAATCATTCGTTTAAGTCAGAGAAACTTATATAACAATTTGACATTTTTTCTATCAAAATTGTTTGATACATTTGCTAAATGTTTCTTCCTGTCTGTCAATAATATATCTTTACCTGTGATATGCTTTTAAGTTAATTCAAAAATGATATGCGCTCATTATTTATTAAACTGTGTTGCTCGAAATTATCAGCGACATTAGAAGAACGTGTCATCAAATTTCAAGGTCATTTTTTTGTTCTCAATGACAAATCTACGATATTATTACATTGAAGATAAATTGAGTTTTATATTAATAATACTTGTAGTAATACATTAATGACCAACCTGAAGTTCAGAGATCTGGAGAAATTACCATTATAGGTATCGTTAAAAATGACAAATTGTGATAGGGCCACGCGACAGATTCTGCAGTTGCACGAATGGGCAGACTCATACGAAGTATCACGATTGACGAAGCCTCCGAGGTTCAGTCGCCCCGTGCGCCAGGCCACCTCAAGCCCGTCGGAACTGTGAAGGCCCCTAAGACCAACAGTGGCTCATCCAGCCAAAAAAAAAATAACGGAGCCTGTCCCTTGATCTTGATAGCACTATGCAGGTCTTTTAGACTGTTGAACAACTCACATGTGTCATCTGTGGCAGGAACAATCCGCTACAATCGTCCATTAAGATTTTATCACTTTATATACAGACAGTAATTTTTAATGATTAGTATAGATAAGTTTAAGAGAAATCTGTCCGTTTATAGTTTTTTATTTAAATAGTGTAAAATTCTTCTTTGT